GAAAGAAGCTGCCTACAGCCCAGTAGGACAGGATGAAGTGTTTCTTTAACATCTCAGTTGTGGAGCAGGAGAAACACTCAATGTACCTTGGATGATTTTGGGCAGGATAAAAAGGCAGTGATTAATTTGCACCTCAGCTCCCTTGGAAACTTTCAGATCATTGGTGTATCTCTCTCTTTTTCAGAAGCCTGAACAATTTGTGTTTGCCTTCTTCAAGTTACAAAAGAGCAAACACAAGTCTTATACTCCCACTAATCCATCTGACATCCCATGTATCATAATCTAATGGCTATAACAGGGTGGACATTCATGTTCTTTTTTCTACCTGAAGCACATGGTAAACTTTATTATGTGAGCATATGTATAAAAATGTATCATCACATAGAAAGACTCTTCAAAATAATTATAGATTTGGGTATGTATATTGCACAAAAATAAGGGATTGAGTTATAGAAAAATAAACAATTGATTTCAGTGTTGATTTCTGTGTAGGTAAAATTCTAAAGGAGTATCAGAGAGAATACCCCATTCGATTATGCAGTTTTAAAAAGTACCTTTTGTAGAAGATATGTGGGTGTAGAATAAAATTATTATTTCTAAAACTTTGACCCAAATATGCTACAAATACTTTCAGTTTCTTATTATTCGCTCTTTCTTTTACTGAAAGGAAATTGCATCGATTTCCTATCTAATTTTCTCCATGAAAATCAAAATATGCAGAATATATTCACTTTTTATTAACACATATATCTCATGACTTCACTATTCCTTTTGTTAGTTTGCATCTTGTGTCTTTTAGGAAGATACTCATGGTATTATTTTATAATTCTTAGAAATGACGAGTGACATAAAATTGGAGAGGAGAAAAATTAATGTTTCTCTGTGGCCACGCATATCTCTTTCTCACTGTCATTAGTAAAAGATAAATCAAGAGGCATCAAGGTTTTCTTTATGAGTATTTTCTGATACTAGGTAGGTTTATTATGTGAGCTAGGCTGGTTAATCTAACAGTGGAAAAGGAGTGCAAGAAGGAAGAATAGCTGCACATCTACACACCTGTGCCAGTATGCTCAAGCAACTGACAACTCTTTTAAGCAAATATTGAAATTGCTCATATATAATTTCTTACTGAATTTTCTCCTTGGCTTCAGAATCTTTAATACACACATACTTTCATTTTCTTCTTTGAAGTATCAAAAAAAAGCATACCATAATAAAGGCGAAGTCAATGGTCTATATTTACTAGAATTGAGAAAAAAGTCTTAGAGCCTTAGCTTCATGGCATGTATTATTGGAAGCAACCTGTGGGTAAACATGCTAAGGGAGGCTGTTAGTAATATCCTAAAGCCAACTAACTTACTGTAATAAAAGCTGCTCATTTTGTTACTGCCACTGTTTTACTTCAAAACATAAAAAGAAAGTAAGAAGGAAAGTGTCTTAACTTCAGAGGAACTGGGATAATTGCCATAAAAAGGCAAGAATGGATTGTGGTCTGATAGAAGTTCTGATAGATATAGATTTTCTATATGCACAGTTCTGCATATCAGCAAAAACAGGTCATTACACTTTTCCGTGACATTCCTAACTAATTTAATGGAAGTCCTGATATAATATTCCATTTAAGCCATACCCATTTTGAAATCGAAGTCTCAGTTCTAATGGTGGCTATGGCAATCTATTTTTATTTTTAGAATGATCCTTTTGACTTCTTAGTATTTTGCAATGTCACTTACCCTGTAAACATGCATTTCATAAAGTAGTGATTGGGGATTATTAAAATGTCAAATGAAAATATCAAAAAGGAAAATATTTGCTATAATTGAGTCATCCGCTATTACATTTTTCCCCAAAAAGGTTAAGTGTCTTTTTGAAATCATCTTTTTCCTTGTGATTTTTTCTACACAAATTGTTTCAGTATAAGACAAAGAAACAATACTTTTCAATAGAACTTGAAATGATCATGTTGTGCTTTTGTGCCTACATGGCTATGGGTTGCTTATGACACCTAAAAGAACATTACACATTCCAGAAAAATCCTAGAAACTACTTCACTATGATGAATTGTCCTTGGTGGCTTTCTGATAAAGCTCTTTCAAGATCTTTTAATATTCTAGAGAGCTTTTATCTCAGCGGTTAATTTGTGGTCTTATTTAGAAATGTTTGTTACTTATAGTTCCATGCTAAAAGATCCAGCCTCCTTGTGGCTTTCAGTTATTCAGCTATGAAAGTAATAACTGCCCAGGAAAACCAACATGGATCAGAAATTAGAAAGATGCAAAAATTATTTGAATTTCCACAGGCAGTATACCAGATTCATTGTTTTCTTTTTGAAAATCAGGTAAATAGAAGATTGTTGCTGTTGGAATCCAGAAACGTCTGTGGCACTCTGTTCTCTACCAACATAGTTCAGGAGCTGACAGGAGATAGATAAAAGTCAATAAAAAGAGAATTATTTATTAAAAAGATCTAATGTTACAAGAACAGTACACAGGAACTATTATATTACTGTGTCTTCCACGTGTTATATACCATTATATATAGTATATATACAGATTGTATACAGTATATCTAACATTTTGATATGGACCATGATGGTATCTTTCTTTTTCACTGCAAAACAAATTTTCTTAATAGTCGTTCTTTTCCGGACAGATATTGTGGCATTATACAAAAATACAGTCTCCCCAATGACGTTAGACTGCACTATTACAAACTTTTACATGAAAAAGGAAAGAGCTCTTCAATGCAACTAAAAATGTCATGATAAGGAAACATTCTACTACAGAGTAACAAATGTGTAATATGTAGGTACTGAAACATTTAAAACATGTATTTTGCATCTAAATATATTAATAAACATATTTTGTTCATGTTGAATATAAAACATATCCCTTTTTGTCCCTGCATTACAAATGCATTACCTGATGGTACATCAGTATTTCTATCTGCATTTTGTACTAGAGATTGAGATATAGCTAGATGTAGCTCTATCTCCTCATTGGACCTCCATTCTTCTTATAAAGCACAGCCATTTATTGTATTCAGAAAATTAACTAAACTGTCACCAGTAGTGACTCTAGCCTTTTTGAATACTCTAAAACAGACTGCATTGGCAAGCATCTGTATAAAAAATAGACAAAATTATGCTTAGCAAATTTATAAAATAGCCGTTTTATTTTTTGGTTCATCACTTCATTCTTGTTTATTTTAACCTTTTGAAGAATGATGGGTTGCTAGAGCAAGCTCTCTGCTCAGTAGCATTGCTGCTGCTTTGCAAACCACAACAGGTAGTTATTTCCTTTGAGTTTATTCTTCGGTGCATTTCACCTTCTTGACTTTCACCTCATAGGCTTTCCTACAAGCAGGGGTGGATAGAAGCAGGTTTCCTGTTTGTAACTATACAGCATTCTGGGCTCAGCTCATTATCCTGCCTTTGTTTATCTAGTTTTAACTAAGTACCTTTGAAGCTTACATCTTCGGAATTTTTTATTTTTTTATTTTTTTTTAATATTTGTGGGTGTCATAGAGTGACAGAATCATAGAATATCCCAAGTTGGAAGGGACTCATTAGAATCTTCAAATCCAACTCATGGCTCCACACAGAGCCACCTGAAAACTAAGCTATATTTTGAGAGCATTGTCTGAATAGTTTTGAACTCCGGCAGCCTCAACACCACGACCACTGCTCTGGGAAGCTTGTTCACTCTCTCCATGAAGAACCCTCTCCTAATATCCAATCTCCACCAACAAATAAAGTAATAAAGAATCAAGTTGAATTGTCTGTGAAAAATTCCAGTGTTAAAATTCAAAAGGAATGTAGTCATCACTCAGATTTTTACCTAGCAAGCATTGCACTTCCTTGGCTACTATTTTAAAGATACTAAGAAAGGGCATCATTGGAGTATACCATCTTATTTTCAAGTATTATTTTGCTAATGAGCTGGCGAAATAACAGCATTTTTGTCACAGAACCTATGAACCAAAAGACATTTGCATCAAAATTTTTAGAAGAACTATGCTATTAAGACTTGCCTCTTAAACACTTTCGATTTTTTCCCAGATGAAGTGCATTCATTCTTGTCATAATAACTAGACATTCATGGTAAAAAAACATCCCTCATAACAGCACATGTACCTTAAATGTACAAACACACACATCATATACAATGGGGATCATTTTGATTCAGGTGCCAATATATAGAAATGCCTTCACATGTAGAAAAATTGTCCAAATTTTGTATTGAGTGAAAAAAGTTTATGGACAGTAAAAGCAGAGATTAGAACTGATAGCACACAATTCCTATCAGAATAGTTTTATCTATGGAGCTATGGAAATAGTTCTAGGTAACAAAATAATTGTAATAATGCTCACTGATAATTATACAAACATTTTTTTCAAACACACTGTTGTCCAAGATTTATCCTGCTACAGTATGTACGTGTGAATGACTACATTCCAAAATATTAATGCTCTCTCTGTTATATGCCTTTATATATGCATTAACTGGATTACCAAATATATGAAATATAGAGTGCTATCTAAAAAAAATGGACCCAGAAGAAAAACAAAGAAGGATGTGGTTGGAAAAGGTAGCTTTATCTTCTTCAATTGCTTTATTTGTCCACTTAGCAGCCTAGCATATATCATGTTTGAATGCCCAGTGGAGTTTTCACTGCCATATGCATTAGGATTTTTTTTTTTTAATTTCCTATTGAAAATAAATACTTAATTGCTTTGACATTAAATCATGCAGTATTTGATGAAAAACAATGGCACTTGTTTCCTTTAAAGTTTATATTCAATTATTTTCAGTTACCTCAAAATAAAATGAATGGCTTATTTTCAACTCCATTTTGCCACTTTTTGAATGCTCTGTCTAGTATTGTATTGACAATATATAGATATATTTCTATTTTAATGTGTATTTATGCATTTTAAGAACAAACTCTCGGTATTTTTGCAAAGCATACATATGTCAATTATATTTTTCTCTCTTGTCAGTAAGAACAGCCAACTATGTGGAATGCAAGAAGTGTTAGATGAACTTGTATCAAACTTTGTTCTCTAGTTAAAGAAAGTTGTTTTTTTTTCTGAACCAAATGGATGTACTGTACTAGACACCACTGTTTAAACACCTAATGATACATAATTGGGGTCACCAAAATTGAACGTATTATAAAAGTAAAGTACATTTGACAGAAATTACATTTGCTTACAAAAGTTTATTACATACAATCTGCATATTTTTGGGCCAAGAAATGTCCCCTTTCCCAGAGGACTTTTACAAAAACTTAAGAGAAAAAAACCTGATGAATTTTTGACTGTGTCTCCAAAACTCTTCTAAGTGCACCACAGGTATTTCTATGGGTCTTCAAGCACTAGCTTGGGTTTCCTGTTGCTCCACAGACATACAACTCTGTCCCTTGTTGTCATCAAGCTAAAGCAAATAAATAACAGCAACAACAAAGTCTGCAGTCTTCACCAGGAAGTTGAAGGAACCATGAGTACCAAAAGCAATGTTACAGAGGATGAGGAAGTAGTGAACATATGTAAGGTGGACTGAGCACTTGTTACTTTACCTCCTGAAATGGAAAGGAAAGTAATTAAAGAAGTGTCATTGTAGACAAATCTCAGTACATTTAGACACTAAATTTTACTCAAAATTTGTATTCTTTAATACTGAACAAAAGTCTAACTTTTGGGCAGAGCAAATCCAAATTAGGTTCCCTAGACAGACATAAGTCTCTATGTCTCTGGTAACTGTACTGGAATTTGAAACACCTATTGCCCGTGTAGACATCCATAAATCAATTAGTTTTCTAGATGTAACCTTAAAAAGGCACAGATTTCTTGTATGTTCTATGTTTGTTCATCAGGCCCACATAGATGCCTGAAATACTCTTAAGAATCTCAAATGGTGTTACATGACCATGTCGTAGCATAGGAAATAAATTATTGCTATCAGTGATTTTATCTAACTGGTAGGGAACTGTGCGAACAATTTTTTTCAGGTAGAGAGTAATAGAGGTTTATTTGCTTTTTAATGAACATTGCTATAATTGTCATATCTGCCACTCTTCCAAATATAAGTGTAACCTTACCTGCATAAGATGGAACTCTAATCTGGGGACTAGCAGTCCCATCGCCTCCTTCACTGACTGCACAGACCTCAATAATGTAGACACCAACATCAGGAAGAATTACCACTGCGGAAGTTTTCTGTGTTTCTATAACTTGACTGTTGCTTTGGCCTTCTTGCCTAAGTAACACCTATGGCCAATAAAGTAGATAATGGTCATAGAGATCATTCAAGTTACATACCAGACATTCTGTGCATATGATACGGTCACTGAAATGTTAGCTGTTTCACGATTTTGTTAAGGAAAGCAGTTATCTACTTTTACATCTATCGTCTTTGCCCCCTCTCCTCCCACACCATATGGCTTCCAAACATTAACAGCCAAGTATATTAGTGATTAATGAATGTGAAAAGATTTTGAATAGGATCCAAAGCAAGGATATAGGACTTGCTGCCTTCCACTGTTAGGTGTTACACAATATTTTTTCAATTGACAAACTTTCTTTAAGATGCCTTTTGGGTTTCATTTGATTAAATTCTTATTCCCAAATCCATATGGATATTCACAATTTTGATGAAAGAATTTAGCTTCAAATGTAAGAAAATGCCCTAAATAAAGTCCTTACTGTCTACCTTAGCTGGCTAAGTCAACTCCAAATAGCTCAGATTTTTCCCTGTGTCTCCTTTGAAACTTAGTACATGCTTATGTGAAGTGGTAGAAATGTACTTAGCTGCCTTTTTGGTATTTCAGCATAAGGGTTTTTGTTTCCAGAAAAAAAAAAATGAAAACGTCTAAGAGGTGTAAAAAAGCATCCACTCAAAGTTTTTCAGGATCTCAGCAGTGCTGATAAAGGTTAAATAATTTTCTGGCTTACTGAATCAACTTATATTTTCATGGTGATATTTCTTCTTGTATCTAATGCGATATCAGATTGTAGTCTAGAGAAGTGGTAATGCATATGCTTCAGGTTACCCACAAAAACCTCACTATGAACGTAGATTCTTTTTCTTTTAAATTTAAAATTTAAATGAACTCCACCACTTTTTATAATTTGTCAAATAAGTATTAATTGCTATTTTGCTGTTTAGAACTTCATGATTTTAAATGCCAGAGGACTGTTGAACATCAACAGCATAATAATTAAAAAAAACATTAAACATAAAAAATTTTGTATTTCCTACATAAAAATATTAATTTTAATTTCATTGTAAGATGTCTCACTGTTCTGCACTTCGTTAGCTCCTACTGTACATACAGTCAAATTGAAATGTTCATAGGAAAGTAATCTTACTGGTAGCCACTTCTCAGCCAGATATGATGAATTGATACAGTCTGAGCTTACTTAGTTTATAATCTCTGTTTGAAAGTCATAACACAGAAAATATTGGGATATTTAGCACTTTTCAATTTTATTTATTGCTTTTTACAGTGAAAACTGATTTCAGATAATCTGTGTAGTATACATACACAAAAAAACTGCCAAGAGAAAAAAGGAAGATAGAGAATAAGAAGAATTGTTTAGAAGAGAGGAAAGTTTGTGAAAAAGGGGAGGCACTGACCTTGTATCCCATTACCTCAGATTCATTAGCTAGAGGTCTGACTGGCTCCCATCCAAGAGACACATGAGAACCATCCTGTATCCACATAACATTACTTGGTGCTTGGCTGGGAGCTGGGAAGAAGAAATAACAACATATACATAAATAAATTTTTAGAAAGTTGCTTTAAAATCAAATCAAAATTGTGTCAGTCTTTTACTATATTTACAACTACAAGTGTTAACAGGCTCCCAGCTCTGGCTGGAGTTTTGCTATTATTTTTTTCCTCCATATTCCATTATATTTTTTTCCAGAATTATCATTTAATAGATTGTTGTGGATTGTCTCAACACAACCCATAGATTCTTCAGAACTTACAAACTTGAACTGTTTTATCTCCGTCAAAAATACATTATATATTGGGAAAATTGTCTTTGTTATGAATGTAAAGACATATGAATTCACATCTCTATATAGAAACAAAGCCACATATCAGAGCTATAAGTGATTCCTGATTATTATACAATATATATGTATTTTATTATATATAAAGAGGGCAGAGTTTGCCTTCTGACTGCTTCTTTCTTTGAGCAAAGTTACTGAGATCACTTACGGGACTTCTTGGTCGCTACACGCACAGCAGTGCTAGGTGGTCCATACCCTGCAGCGTTGTATGCCCGCACAGTTAGGTGATATAACGTATTTCCCTCTAACCCTGTCAGAAGGAGAGATGACTCATTTCCTGCAGTTTTCACCTTTTCTGCTGCTTCTTCCTGTTCCATGTCTTTCCAGTAACCAATCTGCCAACAAATGATCAAAGGAAAGATTAATACAGACATCTGGAATGCTCAAGATTTACATATTTTCCTGTGGTACTTTTCTTTGCCAGTTCTGCCTGTTTGTCTGATCGTCTTTTTGACTGAAGTGGTGAGAATCAGAACATCATAGAACTACCTAAAGCATATTGAATTGCAATGCACTGACAGAAAGATGTGACTAGCAAGATCAAAGATTAGAAGATGAGCACTGGCAGGAAGTCAAAAGTATTTCAGGAAATTCAAGAGGAGCTCAATCATTTTTAAATTACAAGAAGTATCTATCTTCAGCCTGGAACGCTCAGGCCATATCTGTTCAAAAATGACATAAGCAATATTCACTTCCCGGCTCTGTAGAGCTCAGAGCTGCCAGGTTCTTAATCATTGTAATGAACAGGAAATGACAAAATACCTGAGGAAATCTTGCACTGAACTGGAAAATCTTATCTGAGTGAAAAGAAGGAAGTGTATACAGTTTTAGTTCTTGAATGTAGACGTTTCCTGTAAATATAATTTTGATTTTTGATTTGTCTGCCCTTTTCAGACAAAGCAAGCCTAAATTTGGTGGTTTGTGGTCCATATTGCTGGTGTTTGCGTTGAATTTATTATAATTTCAAAGAAGGACTAATACTGAGCTACAAATTTGTCTAGTCTCTTTCCTCAGAGGCAGATATGTGCAGGGCTTAACTGGAAAAAATGTCTCTTTCTACTGTATCTAGGTGACCTCCACCTAGTTGTCACAGGGCACTGCTTTCCCTAATGAAAGATGTCATTAATATACCATTCAAACAGCTATATTCAGTTTACTATTTTTAATGATGAGAACTACTTCCACTTATTCCATGTTTTGACCTTTTCTGTGAAATCTGTTATTTCATGATAAGTTATTCATATTATATCTGGATGAATTTTCCTCTGAGAAAAAGGTCATGGGAAATATAACACTTTTGAGAATTTATCCCAGAAAATACTGAATGAAAAAGCACAAGGGGTTCATAGAAAAATATGACCAATGAGTACAATACTGATCTTTTATGCTATGGCAGTCATTAAATATATATATGTATATACCCAGAAAGACCTGAGGTCTATTGAGGTCATATCTTCACTGGAATAAAGTGGCTGTGTTCCCTTTGATGGAGTCTGTATCAGTTTGATCCAACACAAATATCAGCTTCCTTAATTGTAAAATATATGTACATATTGCATTAATTCTTACTTTGATTACAGATTAGATAGCAAATCTAGCTATGTTCAACAGTTGTTGAAATAAGATTCTGAAATACATAGGTATTTCACTTCCTGACAGCTTGAGTAACATTGTTAGTATCTGTAGCAACATCTATTCACATCTTCCTTGGAAGGAAAAAAGAATTAACAACCGCTCATTTACATTTTAAGACTGAAGATCTAGATATTATCTGCTGGGCAGTTAGATGAGTTCATTTTACTTCTAATGCATCTTTACAATTATCTTTATAATATTGAGAGTCACATAGTATTATTAGTGTATGAATGGATAATGAGAGAGTCGTCCTGAAGACCCTATTAACCAATTAGTCAACTCTGCCAAAGATCTAACAGAGAATGATCAGTAGGAAAAGTGGTTTGCCCAAGATCATACAAGTGGACAGTGAGTAGACAGTGGCAAGGATGGAAATGCAACAGAAGCAGTGAAATTCTTATTCTAAGAAAGCCAGGAAAAAAAAAATTTGAAGTAGCTCAGTAGGTCTCACTGTGGTAGCTAATTCAGAGCACACCACGTCCCAGAATACATGACAGTAGGCAGAGCCCAGGTTTTGCACTGAAGCTTTGTTTTGTTGTGAAAACATGATTTTCCAGATTTGCTGCTCTCCATCATGGGTTGTAAGGCACTGAAGTTAATTTTATTTTCTATGTTAAGTCTGCAAAAATAATCATAGCATATTCCTTTACTACTGCTACACCACATGACAAAGGTGTTGCTCCATGGCATAAGGTTGTATTTTGGAGAATTAATATATACGCTTTATTAACCAGCAAAAATGTGAAATACAAGTGGCAGTGTTTTTATTTCAATATCTCCTGTACTTCAAAGCCTTTAAATGTTTGGTCCCTGCTTTTAAAATTCTTCTTAAATTTTTACCAAGTGAGTTTGGACTTTGATCTCAAAATGGGCTTCTATCTTTCTATATATGAATACAACTATGTGTTGACCTAAATGAGCTCAAGGAAAAAGTGATTAAAAAACTCAAATGATTTTTAACGAATGGGAAAGCTTACACTGATTTGTACTGGGATGGAAATACTGCTGATCTTAAAAATTGTTGGACAGGTTTCTTAAAACAGAGGACTTATGTACAGTTATATGTACATAAAAAAAAAAAAAAAAAAAAAAAAAAAAAAAAACCTAGTTATTTTCTGTAGCCTTAATTGCTCAAAAGGGATTTACTAGTTTTCATTAATGATAACTTTGAATACTAATATATCATACAGCATAAATTACAGAATCACAGAATTGCAGGGGCTGGAATAGACTTCAAGAAATCATTGAACCCACGCCCCTGCTAAAGCATGTACCCTACAGTAAGTCGCACAATCTCTCTAGGCAATCTGTTCCAGAGGTTCTAAATCACCTATTCCAAAATACCTGTTCCAAATCACAAATGTTTAATGCATATTTTAAAAAAGAAAAGAAAATAAAACCAAACCATTTGCTTTGTTTAATACATTATTGCTTGCAAGGTTTTAAAATTTTTCTGTTCTTTCTTTTGTTTGTCATCTAGAGAAAGTTTTCATATCCGGTTTCCAGGAAACCACATCTTTTTGATGGAGAGAGGGCAATAATGATTAAACAACGGAGAAGATACAGGAACACGTTGTCTTCTGCTTTGTTCTGACAGTTTATTAAATAATCCTGGAAAGTAAGACATCATATTCATAGACATTGCTACCTTAACATTTTTGAACCTCTAATACTCACAGACAACTTTCTCAAAGTTTTAGGTCTAAAGATATCTTAAACAATAGTTTTTTCTCCCCAACCAGTTTATATGATGTCCATGACAGCACTTCATAATAACTAATTGCAGGTCCTCTTCTCTAAATTCAGTACAGTAAAAGTTCCAGTCTGGATATTCTTTCTGTTGGCCACAGTTCCAAATAAGGCATTTCAAATATGAGCCTGAAGTAGCTAGGATGAATAGAGGTGTTTTTTGAAGGCTGGATAAAACACAGAAAATTTCTGGTTCTCTCTGATTTATCAACACCAACAGTTCTGATGTAACTGAAAATGAACTTGGAGAGATCTCAGAGTACAGAAGGTGCTTGGAAGAAGGAAAGAAAAGTGAGCTGAAAGAACTGCTGCTAGCCCTGAAAAAGAGAAGCCATGATTCAGATTTCACACAACTTGTTCTTATTATCATTCACGGAAAATCTATTGGCTCCTTGAGCTTGCACAGTGTGCAGTTCCCCAAATATTAGCAGTGGTGCAAAAGCAGAGATAGAACCGAGCACTTAGGACAGGAAAAGTACATCTACTGCTCTTTTTGCATCATTTCAAACTACTGGTGTGAGTGTTTTCAGAACAAGATGAAATGTTCCTGCAAAAATGCCAATCAACCTCAGTTACATGACTCTCATCATAATGATTGCTGACTAAAAAGGAAAAAGAAAACACTGTTAAGTAAGCCTAGGCTTTGGGTCTTCCCTGGAATATCTTGCATCCTCCTCTTTTTTCAGGTACTCCTATCTTCAACATAGTCCTGCATATGCCTAAGATGAAGTCTCATATTGTAGCTCAACACTGAGAAGGATCATCAAATATCTAGTCATATTTTCCTATGACAAATCAATAATTTTTAGGTTTCTGATTTTGGCTAATAGAAAATAGCAGTCTTGTAGCAAACTATTCATGACACAAAAGTGAATGCATGAGACACACATGACACTGCAAAAAGCGTGGATCTCTTGAGACCATCATGAAAGATCTAAAATGTGATCCATACCCCAGGGACTTGAAAAGCTGTTGGAATCCTGTGAGAAATGTTTATAGCTGTCAGGATTTTAGAGGGATTTGTGTAATTTTATAGGCTAAGTTGACATATTTAAAGCTATCCAGTTGTTTATTACATGTTTGGGAAAATTCATTCATTCCAAAAATAAAGTTTAGTAAGTTTGTATTCAGGCTGATGAAACTCTAATTCCTCTTTTTCTGTCTTGCTTTACTAGTCTTTGGTAAAAACACTGATATACCCTTTCTAATCTACCTTAAGTAATACCTGAGTAAATTAAAAAAAATAATTCCAAAATCATGTAGATGAAATTTTTATTGTATAAACAGACAAAGAACGTCTAAGGAACAGCAAAAACTTTTAGATGTTCCCCTTTGAAAAGAGATTCAAGATTTTCTGTTTTTTATCCATTTTGGTTGCAAGATAATCTTTTGATTTGCTTAGTCAAGCTCCTACCCCTTGGGGGAATTCAAATGGCAAAGACATGAGATTTGAGATCTGTACTTAATATTAGCTGGAAAAGAATAAATAAAATAAAAAATATGTTCTTCCAGACAGTAATTCTTTCCCTTTCACTTCTCTACTAGTGAGTGACAAAGAAAATATTGCCTAAGGCTGAAATAGATTTTATAACCTTTAGGTTATGGATTCTAAACAGCATTAACCACACACTATATTTTTCTACCATTCTGACAAAGTTTTCAAGCTTCTTCTACTTCATCAGAGTGTAGCTGGCACATATTTAGTAAGGTTGAGCGGGCAGCTGACAAATCTGTACTGAAGTCAGGAATAATATGTGCTTTGGAAGATGCAAATGAGTACTGCAAACCTTGCATAAAACTCATGTGACATAACAGTTAACACTGCCTTTCAGGGATGACAATGTGCAATTGGACAAGTTACTGTGCCTTTCATTACTCCTTAGTACAAAGTGCAAACAGGGCTGGAGTGAAACTGGGTCACTCCAGGCTTGTCTGTATGTAGTAAATCCTCTGTCACTTTTGTTGATTAGAGACCAAGCATTCAACCACTAGAAAAATAACACCTCCCCCTTCTATAATACTACTGCTAAAAGGCTAGGAAATCTGAAGTGTGTGTAGGTGGTTGTCTCTGCTGTGGTGGCCATAGACAGAATACAAATTGAGACATAAGAACAGACTGGCTGGTCAGATTATTTTGCATGGGGTGGGGTGACACATTCTTTAGAGACAACATTGTAGTAATGGTCCACCATAATTCTATATTAAGAGATAGTTGTTAACAAAAAAGAAATCATTCATCTTTTTATCAAAGTCACTGGATTTTTGCTTATTTTTTATTTGCTATTTGAGGATTACTACAGCTACAGGCTGTATTCTGCACTGTCCTACATATGATAAAACCTTAAAAACCAGTTTTTAGCTTAAATTAGTGTTCACCAAAACTGAAGAAAGGGATGGGGAGGAGATTTTTTTCTATACAGGATCCTTCCTTTTGCACCAGAGGAATGGTTTAAAGAGATACTGTCAGTATTTAAGCAAAATTGGACTTCGAGTTCTTAAATTGATACTGGAATGCACTGACTCACTACACTGATCCTTTCAGTTATTATCTCCTTTCTGATGAAATCTTTCCCAAAAACACAACTGAAAACTCTAGCAATATCATCCTCAGATTGTGTTCTGTCCTGCTGAATCATTCAGGGCAGTACTATCTGTTTATTGAACAAAGGCAGCTGTGAACATCATTCTTTCTGGGAATGGGAATGAAAAAGGCAAATACTATTCCCTGAAATCATTCTTTGTCAGAAAGCGAGCAAAGAAATTCTGACTAAAAAGAGGGGAAAAAAGTTAACCCTATCCTCAAATAAAAGCAACAGCCTCAAAAGAAGGCTCTAATTCCTTCATGGAGAGAGATAGAAAGAAGCAGGGATATATTTTTAATGTTTCATTTTTGTGTTGTGTGAACTAAAGATACTTTGCTTGAAATATTTACTCTGTAGTCTTCACACTAGAATCTTAAAACTAGTGTATAGCAGTGAGGAGACAAAGTGTTAATAAAGTTCAATGTTAATGACTACAATATCAATAACGACCTGCATATTCATTCCTACGAAGTCAATGAGGGCAGTAGAGCAATTAAGTGCTACTGTTGGCATTGGAACATGTTGCACTCCGTTGGTCTAAATACATTCCATATCCTCTGATATGAAGAGTCCACTGTTCTGTCCATCAGAGTCATCTATTACTAGGACTCATCAGTCGAGCTAAGGAGACTGATTTGTAGCAAGTAAGTAATGAAAGCAAAACACATTCAAGTTATGAAAGAATAAATTTCTAGAGAAAATATTTTCATCTGAAAAAGAAAATATCTGTTTTTATTTTAAAATGATGTAATTGTCACCTCACAGAACATTTTGAGAATCAATGTGATCGATAATGAAGATGAGGGTAAAAATAGTAGGTGTAATTTAAAGACGCCAAAGATGCCTGAGAGGGAGTAAAAAAAAAGTCAGCTTTCTAAAGAGAGAAAGACAAGGTGCAGTGAGTAAGTTATTTCAAAGGATTTCCTGGCCTGGAAATTGAAGGCAGAGGTTAGTAACAAGTGCAGCACTTCATTGTGGACAGAGACAATATTTGTAAGGTGAAAATAATCTCTATTGGATAAAATTTTGTTCTCCTTATACATAGCAGCCCTAAAAGTAAATGGTCAGGTATCATTTTTACTGCAAGAAGCAAGCTATACACAAATAGTAGAAATACTTTTAACATAAAGAGCAACAGGACAAAAGCACAGTGAGAAAACTGACAGAGTTTGAAGAGTTCAGCATGGAAGTGTACGTAGGGAAGAAACTCAGACAAGTGATAGACCCGGCGGTTCTTGTTGTGGTCACAGCCTGAACAAATTGTAAAGGAATATCTAAGTAGCAAGAATCTTGCTACTTAGCAAATCATGTAGGAAAAAGAGTAAAGTAACTGTATTTAAACCGTGCAGTAAATGTGCTGTACTAGACATGGCTGTCCAGCCCAAGGCTGGGTGTGTGGTGGCTCTGGTGGAGCACGTTTTCGCTTTCAAAGCCACTGGTGATGGTTGCCTGATCCCAGCTCTTGACCAGATATGCTGTTGAGGGTACATATTGTGTTAGTGTGCTATTGAATTGCAAGACTCAAACATAGCTCAGAGACTGTTACAACTGGAGAGACTGACTGTAGAGACTGAATCAGCATACTTCTCTGTCAGGAGTCCTTTTGTGGTTACCTGAGAAGGACTGAGGAGGGTGAGGGTGGCATTGTTTCCTCAGGGGAAGTGTGGCAGGATCAAATGGTGTCATCACAACTCAGAGTAAAACTGGAACCTCGTAGGAATGGACTAAGTCTGATCTGATGTATTGGTTGGTAACTCTGCCTATGGCAGGGGGAAGGAACTTGATGATCATTAAGATCCCTTTCAACCTAAGCCATTTTGTGATTCTATAAAATCTTTTTGCAGCACGACAGGATCGTCTTAAGTTCTGGAGAGCAAATCTACCCCAGTTTTTCACTGGCCAACAGAACATGGGGCAACAGCAAGAGTTTCTCTTTTGGGTATTAAAGTATGATATTGTTGCTGGAGTTGTGTACTTATGATAGGACCATAACACTTCTGCAGATAAATTTTCTGGGGACTCAATGTAGTAGTGCTGGGATGATGTAAGCTTTTGGATCATGGCTTACATGACAAAGATTCAAAGAGTCATTGAAGAAGATGCGAGAAATAAGTACTTATTACTGAAACCAGATGCCCATGCCTCGTTCAGAAATCCTTTAGTTCTTTTACTTAATTCATATCTGATCTGGAGAAAGGAAATTAAGTTATATACTGTAAAGTGAGGGCTACTTTAATGTGAAATGCTCTCAGAGCATCTCTTTCTTCACAATTTCAAATACCACATATGCAGGCTGAAAAGACAAATAAAAGTTCTGAATTATTTTTTTAAAGAATCTTTGAACTTGGAACATCATTTTAATTTGAACATAAGGCAAAGATGAACACAAACCCACATTTCTTAGTCAATATTAGAGCTATCGTGCATTTGCCAAAGGTTAATAACAAGAACATGAAGGATATGAAAAGTTTTAACTCAGAGTTTTCCTTGAAAATAAATTTTCAGGACTTGCTGGAGGAAAAAAAATATTTTTTCAAGATTTAAAATAAAAATAAACACTACACAGGAGATGAGTTTAAGAAGCTATATTAAATTCTGGCAACTTGTACTACAAAATTTTCAAACTGCATGCGCTGTGAGAGTAAACATATTATTCAATGATATTAATAATGTTAATTGCTGTACTGTAACTTATATTCGGATTCAACTTGTCAGTCATCGAGTATCCATTACATTAGTATCTGCCTCAAATCTACTTCTTTACTGTCTTTTCTTTGCTATTGCAGACAAGAAGGAAAGGATCAGCACTCTTAAAATAACTAAAGCAGGTGAGATAACCTGCCCTGCCAGATCAGTAAATTGAGTCAAGCTGGATTATTTCTCGAGCAGCAGCATAGCCGAACCACAAGTTTAGGATGGATCACAGTGGCCCCAAAAGACAGCTTTAGTCCTAGTTTCAATCTGTTCCTGGAAAATTGGAATGTAAACTGGAGCCAAAGATACAACTGGACTCAGAGGACCAAAATGGTCCACTGTCAACGCTGGTTTCAGGTCCAGGGTCACGGAGGGCTGTCTCCAAGCCCTCCCTTTGTTTGTTGACAGTGCTGCTGCTGCTTCCCCTCCTGCCATCCAACCTTTTGTGATCTGCCCAGCAGATGTCCCCAGGCCGCTGCTGGATGAGAGCACAGGGATGGCAGAGACTGATTTTCTGTATATTGGTTGCTCTCAGTAAATAATAACAAGTTTGAACTGGTCACTTGGAGCTGGAAACAGTCAATACCTAATCTTCCCCAGCCTGTGAAAGAGGCATGCTGGGTCACTTGTGGTTCTTTCAGCTCTTTTTGAAGTGTCAAAGGGATGTTATGGGAACTGGTGTTGAACAGTTTTCAAGCACAAATAAATAAAAGATGTACCAGTGCTACAGCTGTGACCATTGTTCTGCAGCTAGTTATGTGTATGCTAAAATGAGTATATTTTCTGTTGAAGTTTAACTACTCCACATGTTAACAGAATGCAATGCTAGCAAAAGCAACAAGACTTCTCATTATGATATTCTGTGTTCATACCTCAAATCCCTGTGGTCTTCCTAGACTTTCTTTAATATGTTTCCACGCAACAAGAATCTCTGATACAGACAAACTCGTAGCTTTGACATCGATAGGAGCAGCAGTGGGTTCTGTATTAAGAAAAATTGAAACAATAAACCTCCACTGTAACAACTTGTATTTATCAAAAACACTCCATCTGAAACTGTCATTTGCTTCCTTTATTCTACTTTAATACTCACAAGAAGGTATGACACTTATGGGGAACATGAAAAACTGAACAAGATAAAGAGATTATTATTGTTGTACTTCTTTATTTGTGTCATGCTACATCAATATCTTATTGCTGATGACGGGTGCAGTAAACTGTGACAGGATCCCTTATGATTTTTTTGAAAATCTTTTATGTTTGTAAATGACCTCCTTCCTCCCCCCACCTTTCATCCTACTTCATCAGCTTTGCTTCAGAAATAAATGGAGCGTTCATTCTCTTTCTAGCTTTTGAGTGCCTTTTTTCCAGCTCAGATTGAATGATACCTAACTATGGTGCTCAATCAATCCTATGAAGTATTTACTCTTTGAGGTCCTAGAATCGTTCCTCTCATTATCTGTGTTGTTACCACTGGCCTTTAGTCTGTGCTACTTGTAGGATGCTGTGTAGTCCTGGCTTTTTGATGATCTGGACCAGAGAACCTGTAAGTCTAGGGTGGTCATCCCTGCCGTCTCTCTGGGGTGAACATCCTTTAATGCAGCAGGGGAACGGAAAAGGTGCACACCAATGGCTTAGGGCTGCCCAATTTGGTTGCCGTAGTAAAGTTTTACTTTGCACTTTGAAATAAGTGAGCACTTCATAGAGATTCAGCTTCCTTTGGTGGCTGGAGAATTATCTGGGTAAATATCTGGGAGAGCTTTGCTGAGATATGCTTTGAACCATAGCAAAAATGTGTATCCTCGTTTAGTGCACTGGGGGAGTATCCCAAAATACTCATGTATTAATCCAAGACTTGAGCTAAAGAAGTCTTTTGGATTTTCTGCTTTACTACCTAAATGTTATTGAAAAGTTGCCCAAGACAAGGTATGGAGATAAGGCTTGAACACAGTACTAGCTTCTCTCCAATTTTCTGGTGAAGTTCACTTGCTCAGCAAAAAGGTTTGTATTCCTCTGTACTAGAAGAGTCTGCAATTTCTTCCTTGGCCTACTGTTCCTCATTACATTTCTAATGTGTTGATCTAATCTTGAAGGGTGGGCAGAGGTCCTGGCTTTTATTTTATGGGGAGGCACATCAAAGAACTTTGTAGATAATATATTTTGGAGGCTCATCTAACAAGGCTACAGGAAAGGAATTTCCTTATGGAACAGCCCGGGTTAAAATTATATATTTTTCTCATTGATCAAACTGCCTCAGTAAGATGTTTAGCTACTCTCCTTTCTCTGATCATGTTGCAGGAATTGTTCTGGCACTGCTGCCCTATACATTTTCTTTGATATGGATTGTACATATTTTTCATCCCTTTTGATGTTGGATTTTTAATGTTTGCATTCCTTTTTGATCTTCTTTTTTATTTACTTCTAAAGAAAAGAAGCATTTCTGATGTGATTCAAAATAGCATTCATCTAGAATGAGATTTATTAATAAATATTATATATGTATGAAACTTTTCAGGTAAAAAAAAGTGGGAAAATGAACTAAAAATATCTAGGTATATAAAAAAATGAACTTCTGAATTTAATACTGAAAGAAATGTGCTATGAAGAAATGTATTCCTCATAATATGAATTTCTGTTCCATAGTTAAATTCTGCTTTCTGTTTTATGCACTACTAAGATTCGTGCAGTAAAAGGCATTTTCTAGTTTTTGTATTATTGAAGCAATTACCTTGTTGTCAGAAAAGATTGCAGTGGGATACGTAATTTGTGATGTACACAAAATGTTGGTTGGCAGCCTTTACACTTTCTATAAATGCAGAAACAACTTCCTCTTCATAGCATTCACTAAGGGTAGTTATGTATTGCTCAGAATAGGAAGGCTGAGTATTTCCTGATATTTTTAAAAATTGTTTTGAACAAATGAAGTAGAAATAGGTGTTTTCTTTTTATGTGAAGAAAATATATTTCTTACATATCCAGAAATTATTCACTGTAGTTTCACTGATACTAGACATTAAGAATCTAAGTGTTCAGCAAAAAAACAGAAATTATATATTTAGGAATAAGGTATGTTATGACTGTTTGAAAGTTTATGGAGATGAAATAACATTTAAAATGGATTCAGATGGGATGAGGATCATATAATTTCTGGTGATATAATATACATTATGTGGTTCAGTCCAATGTCATGCTTTATTCTGTGTGTCTAAAACTAATGATAAGTTTGATAGGCTCATTGGTTTTCCCATTATGGTCACTGATGCTATGATCTTATTCTGTTCTTGTCATTATATTAAATCTATTGGTATCTTCCTGAGACCATGCTGACAGAAAAAAAAAAAAAAAAAAAAGGCAAATATCTTTAATGATTCTTATAATATACCTCAATCAAATTAAAGATGAAGTGTGGTAATTTCTTAAAAGGTTGTGTGCAATGTCTAAAAAACAGTCCTTCTATGTGTTATAATCACCCTGTAAGGAAACTTATTTAATCTGCTGCACTTTGGATTGACCATAATAAAGCAAAGCAAGGAATTATAGTAATAATATTGATCTGACATTCAAAGAGGGAGTCTTGAATTTCAGTACTGGCAGACAGGAAAATGAATAGTTGGTTACTGGGTCTCTATTTCTCTAAAGAAACCAATCCATTTTTTTTCTGAAATGTTTGTCCTTGAAGATTTCCATGTGATCTAACAAAAACAAATAAAAAAGCAGAACCAAAACAGAATTCAGGGAACTCTTGTATTTTTCTTCTTTAAATCTTTTGTGGAATGAAACCTCAGTCAGGACCCCTTGTTCAGTCGCATAATATGCATTTTCTTCTCATTTTGACATCAGAAGAAAACTTTATACACTTCCCTAAATTCAGGATCTGAACTTTCATTTTAAGTTATAAGTATCATCCCAAGTAATTGAATATAGTTAAGATTTTAGGACTTCAGCAGAGCCTTGACAGACCATTCCTCTCTGTGGGGAAAAAAATAAAACACACACAAACAAGATTTATGAAAAAGGAAAATGAAAGGAGGAAAAAAGGAGAAGTCCCTCTTGTGTCATCCTGTAGGTAAAGAAAGTGGAATTATTTGCAACAAGATCTTCCAAATCAGAGCACCTCCAGCTTTCATTCCTGAGAAAAGCCAAGAGTCATTATGCTCAGTTCTACCCCTCAGACTGATGGATGCATGTCCCTAGATGGGCTACTCCACCAGATCTATGATGGCGTGTCTGCCTGCAGGTTAACACTGCATCCAGCATCTTGTGCTAGAAAGGGAAAAGGATGTTGACAGAAGAGGAAACACAAAACCAGAGATGTGAGTTTAAAAAGCTGATAATCAAAACAACAAAAATCAGATGACTGATCTGATCTCTTGGACTTCTAAGTTTTTTCTATATCCGCATTTTGTCTGAACAATGTCTTTCCACGGGACGTTAAAGGAGAGACAAACCAGAAGGGAAGGGAATGAACTATCAGTGAAGCAGTGATCAGGCCTGCAGTGTTGAGATCTGGCCTGGCCCTCCTAAGTTTATTAGTGCTGAAGAACCTACACTTGTGCGGCAGAGCTTCTGAAGACCATTTCTGTAATGCCACTCTCACATGAACACTGTTCCCAGTACCCATATTTCCATGGCTCTCCCTTCTCCATGGAATACCTTAAGGAATGAATGAGTGTAGAGCATTGCTTGTATACCAGTAGCATCAAATGAATTTTTAATAAACTCTAACATATCAGAATTATAATTTCATCTTTAACATTCCATTGAAGACAGCTCAAGCCAAATTTGGTTGGATCAGCTCTCAGAAGCAGAAAATGATCAGCTGTAGTGTACAGCTAATGTTACAACTTAATAATTTTCAGGTTCACCTAAACTCCAAGGAGCTCAGCTTTCATTATGAAATGATCTACAGGTCTTTACTTCTTGAATATAAGGCTATAATTAAAAGAGTGTAATTGCATATCTTTCTTCTAAATGAAAAAAAAAAAAAAAAAACACGTTTCAATCATTCGATTTCCATTCTGTAATGGAAAGGCTTGTTTCTTTTCTCATTATATACATTTTCATGTTGTTTGTGTTCCTCTTACCTATGTTCTGCAATTCATATTTTTCCTATTATTCAGATCTTTCCCTGAATTAAAAGTGTATCATGATGTTGTAATAACAGCAGTATCATAATCATGCTCTTCTGCTAGCATTTGAAATACTAAATAAAATGATCTGAGATTAAACTTAAAGAAATTCTGCCAGTAGCCTTCCAACTCTATATTTTCCTTTCAGTACTTTTGTCTATCATCATTCTCCTAATCAGTTTCTTTCTGTACTTATAGTTTTTGTATCGTCTTATGCCTTTTCCAAACTTTTTTCTTTTTTTTTCATTACCAAGGAAGTGGTGAAGTGCTTGAGCAGGATGCCCCAAAAGGTTGTGGATGCCCCGTGCTTGGAGATGTTCAAGGTCAGGTTGGATGGGCAGCCTGGTCTAGTATTAGATGTGGAGGTTGGCAGCCTTTCCTGTGGCAGGGGGTTGAAGCTTGATGGTCCTTGAGGTCCCTTCCAACCCAAGCCATTCTACGATTCTATGATTCTATGAACTCAAGAACTATTTCACATCACACCAGTGTTTCTTCTCTAAACCAGATAATCTGAAATCCACTTTTTTTTTTTTTTTTTTTTAAATTCAAATTAATGCCTCATTTGTGTTTCACATGATCTTTCTGTTTTATACCGTAATGTATACCATTTTCCATTAATATCCACTTTTAAAATTACTCTTCTGTCTTTATTTGATGTGAAGCTTACAATGTATTGTGGCTATGTTTTTGAAAGTGTGGTGGAAAAATTACTTTTTAATGTGCATATATAGAAATAATTTTCTTGATAATAATTTATTTTTGCAATTTTTTTCATTAGTTTGGGATGGAAAATATCTTCCCCCATGGCTTTGAGATTATTAGAAGGTCTGATTTTCACCATCAATGGTAGTCATGAATAGAAAAACAAGATTAAATTTCATTATTAAATTTCATTATTGGTTCATGTAGATGGTAAATTCTGAATTGTTTAAATTACAAAAAAGGCTGAGTTTCTAGGAAATTGACAGTACTGAAGTTTTTCACAACAGATATAAAAATGGGTATATTTCCACATTCCTATTAGCCATTCTACTTATATAATCTTATTTATGCAAAGTGAATGGTACAGTCCTTTCCTCAATTTTCTTTAATATTAATGTATTATTTACTTCTTTTTTTCCTGGTTTATTAAATTTGAAAAAATAATCTCACTTCACTTTTTGGCAAAACTTGTATTGTTCTTATCCCTTTCATTACTTATATTACACTATAGGGAAAATAAGTTCATCAAGTCCAACAGAGTAACACCACTAAGTCCACAGCTACAGTCCATGTAAATGTACATTTTCTTGCTGTATTAATTTCAGATAGATTTTACGCCTTTGACTTAGAGACATTCCAAAACATTTTCATTTCCTCTCTCATTTTTATTGCTACAACTAGCAATACTGACTAGCTTCCTGCTATTTAATGACTAGATCCATTGTTATTTGTTAAGATTAACTTTTCTACAAGGTCTTAATTATTTACCAGAACAAGACTATAATAACATTATTTCTTCTCAGTAGAGTCAGTTAATAATCTGCTAATTATCACAGACAGAATAAGGTCATTAGTGGTATTTACTATCCAAAGTACTCTGTGCTGCTAAATTTTCTCGTAAATAACAGTGTCATGCAAAATTAGAAAGGTGTAAGTAGAAAAGTACAATTTGGAGCTACCACAACTGGGCCCTGACAACATGCAATAGGTGACAATATGAAGGTAGATTACAGTATGTAGTTTTGCTTTTCCTCTCCTCTCCTCTCCTCTCCTCTCCTCTCCTCTCCTCTCCTCTCCTTTCTGTGATTCTCTGTTTACTGAACTTTCTGATTAGAATATGAAATTTTTAAATAACACAATCATCACTATCAGTTTCACAGTATCATTTACCATTGAGAAAAATGTAAAAATGTCATAGATATACTGGGCAAATGTTACATTTTAAAATGGAATTGTTTCTGTAACAATATGAATATCTGATACTACTGACTCAAACATTGGATCAGAAATAAATTGTTGGAAGCTTTTAGCATAAACAGCAATCCCAACCCTTATAATAACTGAGAATAGTAGTTGACAGTCACTCCAATACAACTCTCTCCTTCAACATTACACCTTTAATATGGGTTATTACGGAATAATTGTACAATCGTAGAATCCCAGGAGTTGGAAAGGACTACTAAAAGTCATCTGGTTCAGATCCCCTTCAATGAACAGGGGCATTCACAGCCAGATCAGGTTGCTCTGAGCCTAGTCCAGTGGGTGGTCTTGAGTGTCTCCAAGGTCAGGACATCCAGTACATCTCTGGGCAACCTGTGCCAGTGCCTCACCAGCCTTACTGTAAAAGTCTTTTTCCTTATATCCAACCTATTTCAGTTTGAAACCATCCCCTTGTCCTATCACCACAGACCCTGCTAAAGAGTCTGTCCCCTTCTTTCCTGTAGATCACTTTTACATACTGAAAGGTCATTCCCAGGTCTGCCTGGAGCCTTCTCTTCTCCGTTCTGAACAGTCCTATCTCTTTCAGCCTGTCCTTGTAGGAGAAGTGTTCCATCCCTTGGAGCATTCTTGTGGCCCTCCTCTGCTCCAACAGGTCCACGTCTCTCCTGTACTGAGGACTCCACATCTGGACACTGTACTCCAGGTAAGGAGTCACCAGAGCAGAGTAGAGGGGCACGATCATCTCCCTTGAGCTGCTGGCCATGTTTATTTTGATGCAGCCCAAGATACAGTTGGTTTTCTGGGCTGCAAAGGCACATTGCTGGCTCTTGTCCAGCTTGCCATCCACCAGTAGCACCATGTTCTTTTTGGCAGGGCAGTGCTCAATCCTTTTGTCCCCTAGCTTGTATTGGTAGTGGATGTTGTCTCAACCCAGGTGCAAGACCTTGTACTTGGACTTGTTGAACCTCATGAGGTTCTCCTGGGCCCACTGCTCAAACATGTCTAGGTCCCTCTGGATGGCATTCCATTGCTCTGGCTTGTTGACTGCACCCCACAGCTTGGTGTCATCAGCAAACTTGCTGTGGGTGCAATTGACCCAACTATCAGTATCATTGATGGAGATATTGAAGAGTATTGGTACCAGCACTGACACCTGGGAGCCACCACTTGTCACAAATCTCCATCTAGACATTGAGTCATTGATCACCATTCTCTGGATTCGATTCTGCAGCCTGTTCTTCATGCATCAAACAGTCCACTCATCAAATCCATATGTTTCCAATTTGTAGAAAAGGATGTTGTAGGGTACTGTGTCAAAGGCCTTACTGAAGTTTGGATAAATGACATCAGTGGCTCTTTCCTTTTCCACTGATGCAGTTAAACACAATGTTTAATGTTTTTCTTCACATGGAAAACCATTATCTTGACACTTCAGCTTTCTAGTTTAGTCTCCACTAGTTTCTACTAGTCTTCACTAGTACCTTACTGATTTTATTCTCTTAACAGTAGACAGTGGAGTAACTCTTAAGGATAGAACTACTAAAAAAAACAGAAGAATATGATTACCAGCAATAGAACTTCTCACAGTATTTCCATGGAAAACATTTACTCATCTTTTGTGTGAATGGAAATTTACATATGCTGATTTCTATCAGTACAGAACAATTTCTTTGACTCGCACAGATAAATCTTTTCTCAGAGAATATTTTGAAAGTTATTTCCAGTTCACTTCATAGCAATTTTCCTGAAATATTTTTTATTTTTATTTCTGAAGTGTTCATATAATTTTGAATATTGAATATTTACACATTAAGATGGATGCTTAATTATTTATACTAATAAAGATAGAAAACAGTAGAAAAATTAAATAAAAATAAGAATAAATTTGCATTCTATGCACCTCTAGTGTTCATTATGTAGGAAATAAATATACACAGTTAGTTATTTAGTCTTTGAGCAGTTGTCCAATTAGCAAATCAAAAGGCATTATGATCCTAACATGCGTTAGAAAATATCAGTCTTTTTCTGCTCATCTTTTTTTTAAACAACTCAGCTTACAGTTAAGAATAAAGACATCATGCTAGAGATAAAGGTTCATTAAAACAAACATATATGTTTCTGTTATGGCTGGTGTGGATTCCTAAACTTTGTCACTTGCTTTCTGGATAATATTGGCAAGTTAGTTCACCTGCTTCTTGGCAAAACATGATTAATAGTACTTTACAGTTCTGCACAGAATTTTGAAATCTATTATTGAAAAAAAAAAAAAAAAAAAAGAATAATAGGACACAGTATATAAAAATAATTTAAAATAGATAAAAATATACAATTTAATTTTACAGCATTTTGAACTGACCTCCTTCAGCTGAGCAGATGACCACAATTGGGCTGAAGGGACCATCACCTTTGTTATTGTAAACACCAACTTTCACTTCAAAAGGAGTGAGAGGTGGAACACTTTCATCTCTATAGATAAACTTTGAGGCATCTGAAGATGTCACCATTTTTTCCTTCCAACCACGTGTTCCATTAGGTCTGAATGCTACAATATATCCAAATCCTTCTCCATTCTGAAACTCTTCTGATACTGGCTAAAAAATAAAGTTCAGATAATGATTAGGTGTGGTTTTACTAACTTAGAAAGCAATCACTCAGACTGACTATTATGTTGTGTCAGGGTGGTCTCCTGCAATTGCATTATAGAATTTTAATTAACACACCTTAATACACAATTATTTCCAAATCAAAAGCCTGTAGGAGTGTTTCTTCGCTGAATGGCTCGTGTGCTCAGAAGGATATTTCTTTTATACTTTACACTGATTAATGCTTTAACCATTGATATACTAATGGATTAGTTCCTTCAAGTGGTCTTGTTAGAAGTGTATACCAACCTATTTTTGTAAGGGTTCCTATGATATGATGTAAGTGACACTTATTACAGTGGGAATTTCTTAGGTTTTATGCATCCAAATGGGATGTCAAGTTAGCAGTTTAATTCCGGTGTTCAATTAGAGGCTTAGGATATAATGTAATAAACCTAGTAGTTCTTACTCTCAAACAAAAAATCTTGATGAAAAAAAAAAAAAATCTAATTTGCTTTTCTTATTTCATAGGATCTATGAAATTAACCACTTAAATTGGGACACAACTGTCATAAGCAGACAGTTGGCAAAAAGATTTATCTGTTGAGAGACTGAGCTTTGTAAAAGCTGTATTTTAAGTCTCCAGATCAAGAAATGGAATTTTTTACACTAACTCACCTCCTACATTTGTTGTAAAATCAAGATTGGCATTAGATTATGTTTAACAGATGTCAGTATATTAACCCTTGGAAAATGCCAAAAAGGGTACCTAAAATTTCGTATCTTTAAATGTCCATCTTAGATTTGGATGAACATATAAACCAGAGCAGAGACACAGGAGACACAGAATCGTCTTCAATCCACTTTGTATTTGAATGCCTCATCACTAGGCACTTGCAGCACTCATTTCCTATCCAGCTTTCTGAAACGGTGCACTATTTTCCAAGGAAAATACAAAATAAATAAATACACTGAAAAGATAAAAGACAGGGAAGGCAAAAATATGACAGACTTTTTACCTAGTGAGTTGGAAAGGAGGAGCCTTGGAGCTCTTCACAATATTCATGGATTTGACAGTAGATTGTCACTATACAAAATCAAATCAAATCCCTCAAAAAATGGAAATACAAGAGAAGTAGCAGAATCTCTGGATTCAAATGTAAACGCTAAATACACACTATGTGAATTATGTGAATAAGCTGGGGCATTAAAACTTTATTTGAACCTGCTGAGTATAATTCAGTAGCCTAAGAAGATTATTCTTCCTTAATTCCCAGAAACCCACACACCATTCCAATATCTCTTCAGATTTCAAAATACTTTTTGAATTCCTATTGCCTAAGTAAGTCCAATTAAGACTTTTTTGCATCTTGTGAAAGTGCACATTAGTTGTACTGGAGCCGTGTTAAGTTGTACTGTGGCTGTGCCTTACAGAAATGCAGTAGTTAAACAAGAAAACACAGTAGTTTGTAGTGAGTTGTTGATACCACTCAGAGTATTATCCAGTGTAACAAGGTTAATTCTTATTTCTCACTGCATGATTTTGTGTTTTGCTCTATAATTTCTTGAAGAAATTGAGTGACTATCATTAGGATATCACAGAATCACAGAATTGATTGAGTTGGAAGGGACTTATAAAAGTAATCTAATCCAAATTAGAAATGTTAGAAATCTTTCAAGCTACTAAAACGCGTATATAGGCTCACTTCATGATTTATGATTGACACACTCGAAATGCCATTTCATTATCTTAATCTGATTAATTACTTTATGCAGTTTAGGAGGTATGTGAAACAGTAGTGTGCCGAAAGTATCCGCATTAGGAAGAACACAAAATGATGACGGAAACAACGAGCTCATTTTAAACACTGTAGAAGGACTGACACCTTCTCTCCTATTGGCAATTTGCATCCCTTAGCTATAAAAGAATGCCCCTCTTCTTGACCTTAGGGAACACCATAAACACACTTTACATGAATACTACATGTTAATATATTATATAAGATATTTCAATGAGGCCAGTTTCATCAGATACAATTCCAGACCCTTGAGGTTTAGTTAGGGATTTTGCATAGTCTCCTCCAATTACTGCTGTTCATAGCCTGAAAATTGTAACCAAACTGAAATTAGTATTGTCTCACTTTAAGTAGTTTGTCAGAATCCTGTGTTTCTCATATGATTTTCATTGAAACTCTCTATTTTTATTTGATGGATTTTTTTTTAATAACATAAAATAAATACATATATGTATTTACTCTGAAATTCTTTTCATGAATCTAGAAGTTTTGAAAACACCTCAATAAAAGTTTCCACTCTACTGTGTTATTTATGATCAGCAGAGAAAACAACTTTGCTCATCCAATTACCTGTTGTCATAGTCATACATCTGTGTTGTACCTGGCATCACAAATATCTTCTCAAAGTAAAAGTCTGCTTCAGGCATTTAGATTTTATTTGTACAAAATACTTCAAAAATGCATTCTTCCTTATTTTAAATGTAAATTTAAACATAGTTATGGGAGATTCTTTCTCTTCCTTAAGCTATTATTTCATCTATGTAGCATTCACTTATGATAAAAAAAGGTATCACTTCTACCTAAGAATCTGGAAGAAAAGACTGATGAATTAGGGCAACTTTGGAGCTGCCACTAAGGGAAGCAGATTCTCTGCAGTATCCTCAAACCACATTAAAGTGCAATTTAATTTAGAAACTTCAGAATGAACACGATTTTGTGTTTATATCTTGTCAATATTTACTGTAAGGAAACCCCAGTACAGTAGTGTTTACTTTGTCCCCAAAGAAGTAAACTTAAACAAGATATTTAAACAGAAAACTCCCTTACCTCCCATGCTATTACTAATTCATGACGCCTTCCGCTTCTGCCACTTACATTAGCTGGAGGTGTCTTTGGAACTGTGAACAAAAAGGAAAAAAAAAATAATCAGAATGTCCAAGTTATTGAAGGTTTCCCTGTAGTAATAAATTGCTGCAGAAGACATGAGGCTGCTAAAGCAGAGCAGAAAAACATAGAATGCTGTGGTAAAGTAATTTTGCTCATTTCATTTCATGGAATTCCACAATCAAGGGAATGATTATAAATGTGAACAAAACATAAACAGAAAAGAAAAGGTATACTGAAATAAAAAGTTGCTTAAACACTGTTTCTTCTGAAAGTTAGTCAAATTTTCAGTGTACATATATAATCTAGGAGATAAAACAAAATTTGTCTTTTTATCATTTGTACTTTTTAAAAAAGCATTTCAAAAATCAAACTCCAGGGAACTTGCCATTTTTCAGTTTTAGGAAATTTTAGGAATTAATTAAGTTATCTCTACTATATCCCAGGTCTTTAGTGATTTAGAATATTTCAGTTCTTTAAGATATATATTATTATGCCTTGTCAGGAATCCAATTTTCAGATAGTTTAGTTATCTTCCTTAAACAGCCTTTATCCTTTCTTTCTAAATGCTGGAAACTATACCATTCATTCTTTAATATTCTTTAATATTCTTTAAAATCTAAGGCGAACTATAGGTTATCATAGTCAGTAACTTTAGAAATTTTAGTTATTCTATTGGAATTATATATATATATATTTCTTATTTAATATATCTAATGAAGCTCTAAAACTGACAAATGTCCTGAGTTTATTTACTGTGAGCATGTAGTGCTTGCATTCCTTATTTGATTAAATATGCCATAAGATATAACCTCCCTATTTTCTTCCTTACAATAGTACATAGGGTATGGGTAGAACTGTTAAGGCTTTATTGCATGCTATTGAGCTTATTTATTGACTAACATGGTGCCTTTGAACTATACAAAGAAAAATAGATTCAAACAAATGTACACCACTCTCTATTTCCCATGTTGAACATTAACAAGTTCAGTGAAAGTGCAGTTGTTACTAGATCCTGAAATTTCACATAATACTTCAGAATTAATCTGAAGTTTTTAACTATGATCTCCCCTGTAAAGAACATAAGCTCAGTTCTTTTTTTTTTTTTTCTCATAACTAATGCAATCTCACAAAGTTTATGAATTGCTTCTGACATACACTGTTGGAAATGTGGTAGAAGTGAGAAAATAGTTACACATATGTTTCTAATATTGTTTTTTTGCTCCAGGGGTCATCTCCAGTGAATGCAGAGCTTTGAGGTGATCCATCCTTCCTAAGATAGCTGTCTAAGCAATGGCAAGGACTTATTATTATGACTGGAGACATGAACAAGGTTAAACTAAAACTCAATCTTTATGTATTTTAATCAAATTTACCCTTCAGAAACAGTATTATGCATTATTGAATGGTGAAGGTTTCCCCTCTGGCAAAATAATAATTTTAATGAAAAAGAATAAAAACTGTGCTTTACTGGGATGATCATTCTATAGAAAAGATGCAGAACAATAATTTTATCGATTAAACAGAATACATAAACTATCATACCATCTGTAATGGAAAATATTTAAACTATGTTTAGCATCCATTTGCTCTTTCTAAGGCTTTTTGTTGTTGTTGTTATAAAGATGAATACAGTGTTTGTGTAGATGTCATATTATTAGTAAGTGAAAATGCTGTGCTCCTTTGAGGTAACTAACACGATGGACTTGTTTAACGAGTATTGTCCTCTGTCTAGAGTTTTCCTCTTAAAAGCATTGCAGACTGAAGCCCTATTTAAATGAATAAATGTTAAAAGAATAAAACTGTCAAAACGATGGATTTCTTTTGCACCAAACTAAAATGTACATTCAAGCAGCAAAACTCTCAAATGAATAACCATTAAAAGAATAAATGTGTCAAAGGAATAAATTTCCTCTGCACTGCACCAAAGCAGATTATTTACAGTCAGGGGAGAACATTTTGAAATCAGTGAAGAAAAGTATTAAAAGAACACATTTATGCCAGACCCTGAGGTTGTCTATCATCAACCCTTTCAGCAACATCACTTTTATATCAGTTTTATATCTGAATTTTCTCACTCAGAACCAGTTCACTGCCATGCAATTAGTGACTTCCAAATCTTTACATTGTTAATTCTTGACACACATGAATAAACACTTGCACCAGAAAAACAGATGTGATTTCTGAACTTTCTTCCCAGACATAGGGTCCAAATGCCTGCTGGACAATGACATTATGACCTTTGTTCTTAATGTCTGTCACAAAACTTAGAAATTTAGCACTGTCTCTTCTGAACTCCAACTGATAACAAGCAGCTCTTTTCCATCCTTATACATCTCATTTAATAAGATAAAAGATAAATTCCCCACACTTGGAGAATTGAATTACTCCTTGGCTTAACATTAGTACTTAAGACCACCAAAAGTGACTATGCTTAGCTTGACTGTATGTCTCCAATTAATTTAAAGTTTTCTCATTAGTCCCTGTGTTGATCACCTAGTATTGATCTTCTCCTACTTTAATCTTAAACAGTAAGATCTTTAGGAGTAAGTCAACTCTATTTTTCTTTTATTACTTCAGCTACTGTTAGGATTGGGAACAAAACACGTAAAACTTGTGTTTCTATGTTTTTCTGGTGATGCAGTGTTCTGAACTTTTGGCAGACATGGTGACTAGATGTGGGTCACAGTAAATGCGATTGACAGTGTTTGTATGCTATCACACATTGATGTTTAAACCTTCACTTAAATCAAGTAAACCAGAAAATGAAAACAATTTCGGTATAGTTTGAAGGAATGGAAACAACAGTATTTGTTTCTTACAGAATTGCCATTTTCATTGAAGTATTGTGGTATGCTGAAAATGGAAGTAAAACCAAACAGACTTGGATTCTCTCAATGTCCCCTTGGATGAGTCAAAAATACACTTTAAGTGTTTTCTTTAAGAGCAAGCACAAGGAATGTAAACCTCATCCCCCTAAGAAAGACTTTGTCAATCTGAGAAAAATAGAAAGAGTAAGACTTATATAGAAAGCCCATCAGAAATGGCCAATTGTTGTATAATCTGTGTGTATTTTATCATTACAAGCTATATAGACATGAAAAGCAGTGGTTTTTACGAAGGAAAAAAATGTATGCAGAGAATTGATATTCCTGAGTGTTTTGTGTAGGAGAGCAGAGATTAAGAGCTAAAAATCTCTAGTAATGCCACCTATATATTATAAATTTGTGCTTAATTGTAAAGGCTGGGGAAACTTTTGGAGGTGGTAGATAATACTACTGATTTGAAATCATAACACTTGGGATAGAAAATATCTTTCCTTCTAGTGCTCTACTGTGTTTGATATTTTGAAAACTGGTCTGTTCTTTGAGATGCTTATATTAGCTTTTGTGTTCAGAATTTTAAACATTCCTCTCTCTTCACTCTGAACAGCTACTTAATTTTTGATTCTTTAACTGAAAAGTGCAGATTCTGGTAAAGATGGCCTTTTCAGAGATTTTATCTAGTCACTTTGGTCCAAAATACTGAAAATGATGAAAATGTGAAACATTTCAATTTATACTTTAGAAGTTGTAACCTGAATTCAGTTTCACTTAAAAAAAGTGAAATCTGAAGAGAAAGGAGAATATTTTATTTCAAAATGTCAGGTCTTTTGTTGTTGTTGTTTTTGTTTTAATTTTCATTAATGTTATTTCTAAATGCTAAAGGATACCAAGACAATTTGGATTTTGTTTAAAATTAGTCTTATTTTCCCCCTTTTTTTACTTCAGTGGATTAACTGAAAATATTTTTATGTTGTTTGAACCATAGCTTCCTTTTCTTCTAGAAAGGAAAATGAAGTTACACACTGAACCTGCAAAACATGAATTTATTTTAAAAACAATTCGTCCACTTTTTAACATTCTGGTATTGTAAAGAAATTTTAAATAAATGTTGTCCCTGAATGAATAATTAACCATTTTAAAGTGTTTATTTTGTTTGTTTTCCAACAAAATATTGGGTGGTTATTTATTTATTTATTTGTGTGTGTGTGTTTTCTGATTATTACAAACAGAAACAACAGATTTTTAATTTTGTAATGTGCTTCATTTTTTTTTGCATAGAACAGAACTATTTAGTAGCCATGGTCATAGTTGATTATAGCATTTCTGTAGAAAAATGTAGCTGGATTTAGTTCCTGTCATTCACTTTTGCAATCAGGACAGATGAGATAGAAGGAAGACAAAGAGAACCAAGAGCCCAACTACTTCCATTTTTCAGTGTAAGAAATGATAATACCAGCTGCTCAAATTGACAGAGAAGTTTCTGATAAGAAACTGAGTCTAGATTTCCCAAATCACAGCTTCATGTTTTAATAAAAATGTCTTTCTTATACTGCTTGTATCTTGCATTCACAAAGATAAATGCCATGTGGATTTTTAAAACTTTTTGTATACTTTCTGAAACATTTGGTCAAATATAGCAAAAAGAAAACAAAACTCTACAATTTTGAGGAGTTATTCAGTTTAGCCCTCAAGAAAATATTTGCTCAAGATATAGTTACTGTTACTATTTATTTATTTCAAAGCTATTTATATCTTTTAACATACTGATACAGTTTGAAAGTCAAATACTAGCTGTGGAAAAGGGGGTAAAAAGGTTTGTTGCCAGCTTGACAGAGCTTCCTAATGTGAAGACCAAAGCAATAACACATTTTTCTTTTCAATTGTTTTTCTTTTTATGCATACATACACATACGAATGTATCCTTCCACGCAAGCCTGGGAAACAGAGAGATGTTAACTGAAAATCCTTTCCACGTGTGAGAGACACCAACTGGTCTCATGATCTGCATTTCTTCCATTAATATTTTCCTCTGTATTTTTTAGTACTTGTAATTTAAGAGGAGATTCTGAATATCCTCCAGATTATCACCCCCAGATCTGAAATCTCGAATGCTGTGGCATTTATGCCAGCTTTCCTGGTATGTTTTCTAACAGCACTTCTGTTTGGACTCTTTGTCAATAGGAAGCATATTAATTTGGGCCTGCAATATTACATGTGAGTAGTCAATTTCAAATATAAACATTAAGTCAACAACTATTGTCTACTTTATCTTCTTCATCTGTTTTTCCCTGTGGAGGCACATTTTATGAAATGATTTCACTTGCCCATGAAATAATGTCCTAATGTTAAAAACTGGACAAAAATAATTATGATAATAGCAAAAGTGGAAACTTATTTTCCACAGGTGTCTAAAAAAAAAGATCCAAAACCTGACCAACAGAAGCAACAAAAATCCCCTAAAAAAAAAAAAACCCAGCCTAAAACATGTTGTTGTCAGGACAAGTTTTCCTTGTAATAACACAAAGAAATATTAACTGAGAATAAGTGTGGCTTAATGAAATATAAGGACTTATTAAAAATAAATCCTGTGCACAATCTGATACTAATTGAGTGCATTATACTGCTACCTCATAAAATCAAGCCTTCATGTCTGATTAGCAGGTTAAACTTTGATTCTACTCAATTTCCCTCTCTCCATGTTTCCCCATGAATAGATAATGTAATTGATGCTTTGCCCCCAGGCTTCAAATGCCCAGCTGCTGTAGTGGAATGCCAGACATGTCTAAATTCATGTTACTGGCTCTTTTCACCTTGTGGACCTGTAAAATATGTATCAAGGCTACAAGTGACAGAAATGCAGCAGCTGGCTATAAGTTAGATGTGCCAGAAAATTGCAGTATTATCCATTCCAATGAAAGTAGATATGAAAAGCAATCATGTTAACTAAATGTGTACTAAGGAACAAGATTAGGGTTTAATTAAATAATTAAAGCATGTGAAAACCCATTTATTACTCTGATGATTTCCTTACACCATCCCAAGCATTGCTTCCATGGGTATTTTTAAATAATGGACTGATATAAAATGTTACTATCTTGGGGAAGAAGTGATAAATTAAGTTGTGTGGGGAGTGAAAAAGACTTTAGTCTCCAGCCAAGTTAGTAAATGCCATTAAATTAAAGATGCTGATTGCCATTTAAGTATAAAATAATGGCAGCAGAATCACACATTTGATACCTCTGTGTGTTGTCAGTGTAGCTACTGTTCACCTCTGTGGATCATGGCTCTCCTCTGAGCACACTGTCACACTCATCTTCTCTGCTGGGAGACTGATAGTTCTGGAGATTTTCCAGTGCATCCTGTCTTTTTTACTTGTAGAGCACGTCTAACATCTCTGCAAAGGGCCAGGTTAGTCTGCTAGGTCATGAGGAGGAGGTTGATACCATATTCCTTCTAAAGAATAATGTCCTTACAAATGCACTCTATTAAGATTTCAGATCTGTGACATTGGAAGTGAAGCCCATGCTAGTAAAGGTTTTACCTTGAAGCTTTCAGATAAAAAAAAAAACAGGGTACAGAGAGATTCTGAAAAAGAATACATAATCGAGTAATACGCGACAATATTAATGTGCTAATTTGGAAAACCATTTATGAATAGCCATACCCAATGAAAACTGAAACTAACTTTCTTGTCTCGTTGACTGTGGTATTTGGAAACAACCATGAAGACGACAGCTCACACTGACAGAATTGTCTCAGAGAAGAGAAGAAGACCGACAAGATTTAAGACCCAAGGTACCTCTCTAGCTATTCAGGCATAGCTAGAAATCACGAAGAATCAAAGAGTCATAGAAACATCGAATTACAAAGTTGGAAAGGAGTTACAAGATCATCTAGTCCAACCTTTCTTCCATTATCATTACTACCACAAGCCACTAAACCATGTCTTGTAGCTCCTCATCCAGACGCCTTTTGAACACTGCCAGGGATGGCGACTCCACCACCTCCCTGGGCAGCCATTCCAGGGCCTGACCACTCCCTGAGAGAAAAAGTTGTTCCTTATGTCTAATCTAAATCTCCTCCGGTGCAACTTGTGGCCATTTCCTTTGGTCGTGTTTGTAGCCTGGGAGAAGAGGACAAACCCCTCCTCATCACAACCTCCTTTTAGGAAGTTGTAGGAAGAAGCGGATGCCTGATTGAAGCAAATCATGAAGCCTCTGGCATTTCAGGAACACCATAAAGATTTATAAACAGCATGCCATTTACACATGTAACACATTGATATATATTATTTGTATTCTTGGTTTTGTTTGCTGTTGTTTTCCTTGCTTTTGGTTTAAAGCAGAGTCTATTGTGTTGCTGTTTCTGCGTTACAACTTTTTATAGTTTTCAACAAATTGGAAAGTTATATCTTATTATTATGAGCAGTGTCTTCTCACTACCTCTGCAGAATAGAAATGAGAAACCATTTATTTATATATGTATATATACATATACATATACATATATATATATATATATATTTTAAAGAAAAAACTAACAAGATAACACAAAACAGAAACAGCTCACAAGTGAAAAGGAATCCAAAGGGTTTTATTAAATAAGGTCTTTTGAGACTGAGGTGATGACAACTAACTTCTGCTGTATCACACTGTGCTAAACAGCACACCAAATAAACTGAACTTCAATTTCTCCGAAGACTGTTAAGTTGTTTTACTGGCACCTGTCTGGAATTCAGTGTCACACTACAAAATGCTTCCTTCTAATGTGACAATTGTGCAGCTGTAACTCTGGTAATAAAAAAAAAATTGTAACTGGAAAGCTGAAAATGCAGGTAAACACTGAGCGTGGCCTTTTCCTATTTGAACTCATATGTTACTGAGCTTTCATTTGAGAAGACCTGCATTATTATCAGCAATAGGTCTGCTTGTCAGGAAGAGTCCTGTGTACTTGGATTGAAATTATTGCTACTTTTGTTAATGTCTCTGTTTCTTCAGATGGCAACAATAGTGGAGCCTTAGCCTTACTCAGAAGAGAGTACTAATCACTGGGCAAAAAATACACTGCACAATGCATGCTTCATCCCTTCCTCAGTTTTTTTTCTGATCATAAGTATGACTTATTGTCATGGTTTTGTGATTTTTGGTTTTTGGTATTCCACGTTACAACATCATGTAGTGCACTGGGAGTTAAAGTGTTAATGCTCCAATTTCTGGTACCTGTCCCTGTACATCATGAAACTTATGGGATCTGGCCCTCTCTGGTTGGGCAGTCTCTTACTGCCTTGCAGTGGGAGTTGGAGGGTTCTTTCCTAACCGTACCAATCTTTTTAGGTTTGACCCGGTCTCGGGAACTCTCTCTCTCTCCTATTTTATTTGATTTATTAGTCCAATATCATAATCAGTAAAATAAGTTTTCCTCCGCAGATCATTGTCACCGTTTTTTTTTTTTTTTTTTTTTTCCTTCCTTGAGTCCAGCTCCCATCTCCCTATCCCTTTTTCCTTTTCCTTCCCATTTTGTGGAGCCGGGGGGCCCAGAGGCCTACTGCCCTCCTGTCGCGGGCATTGATTGATCTAGTTAACTCCATGACACCTATTAACAAATTTTTATAGAGGTAAAGCTGTACTTATTGTCCAAAGAAAAATGGATGTGCATGAAGACTTTAACTAGAGCTGCTGGAAAACGTTTTAGTAAAAGCAGACCACCGCATCTGCACTTCCCTGTCCCTCAAGTTCCAGAGCCTCAAGCCTGTAGCAGACAGGTACTTGGGAAGCTAGGTAGATAGAGAGGGGATATCTGTGATGTCAAGCTGGGACTTGTTTCCACATCTCTTCCTTTCTTAGATCTCCTCCCTCTGCCAGATGGTGGAAGGGTAAGAGGTTCACCAGTGTTTGGGGTGTATCACCCCTTTGCCTTTCTCACAGGTATGGTAGGGAGTTACTCCACCAGTCTCTCTCCTGCTCATACTCCGTGATACTCCTTAACTTCTCTACCTCCTCCTTGAGCTCTGCTGTCTTGAGCAGATCATCCAGCTCTTACAGCTTATGTAGGTGGTATCCCTGCCATCCTTGATATTAACAACAGGTTAAGTCACTCCCTGTAGCCTGACAGTTGGGGCATGCACTCCATCTGAATTGCCACATTCTTTTTGGTAAGACCTTTCTGCATAGTGGAAATCATTGCCAGATTTGCTGTGTAGGAGGCAGCCAATAAGTGAGCCAAAATGAAGATAGCCTGGATGAAGTAAGACAGAAGGGAATTAGGTAATTTGGAATTTATGTAAATTAAACATTGTTCCTGTAAATAAAACAAACTGTTCTGCACGAGTATTACCCTGGAGCAATGTTGACTCAACACAGATTGTACCATTGAAAAGAGAATAGTACCATCATTATATTAAAGCAGTTCTTGTTTCTGGTAGTCCTGGAATATTAACCTTTTTATCTCCTTACCTGCTTCATTGGTTCTGATCATGCGGGATGGTGCACTTGGGTCTCCAGTCCCAATTTTGTTGGTTGCTACAACTCTAAACTCATACTCAACCCAAGGGTTCAGTTCAACAGCCATAGCAGACTCCATGTCTCCACTTATCACATCAGGAACTGCAGACAGTGAAAAAATGTACAGGTCACTCAGAAAGTTGAAGCTCACATGTGGTGTTTCAGTGGCAAATGCATATGACCATCAGATATGACAGATATCAACGATCAAATATGTTAGAAATCAGAGTTAGTTTTTTTGACAATGTGGTACTCCTGAAAAGTCAAAGAATAAAAGGAAGAAGGAAGAGATTTCTGCTTATTACAGCTGCGTCACTCAGGAGTCTTTGTGTTGTCTGTTTATAGATGTTGCTTAGTAACATGAAAGGAATAAAAATAATTAAAAAAAATTAGTGCTTTTAATTTATCACTGTTATTTCAAGAGTATCTACAGTTGCTGCTGGAGTTTTGAAGAGCTTGCCTGTGCTATTTTGAAGTTTTTCTCACCTGTTTTTACTGTCTGCCAGCCAAGAGAAAATGGACTGCGTGCTTGCAGGTTGTAGAGGGAGATCGGGCTGTGATTGTCTGCCCCAGGACTCCAGGAGAGTGTTGCTGTGGTGTCTGTAATTTCCTCCACTATTACAACCCCTGGGGGACCAGGAGGACCTAGAAATAAATTGGAATAATCAAACAAAGCACACCATCATTGCTGCTGAACAGTAATAATATGGGAGAGATATTCTGTAGTGTGTTCAGTACCCATGAAATACAGGAGTTAAAATGAACACTACTACATCATGGTGATAGCTTGTATAGAAAAATTTCTACTGGCAAACTGTGGTTGTTTCTACTCTTTAAATGTTATGCAGGTAGAAGCAATTAACCTGTCAGAGTGACAGTAGAAGAACTAGAAATAGAAACAGATTTCTATAAAATCTTCTTGTAATTGTTCTGAATGTAAAATTGAAGGAAAAAAGAAAGCATCCAGGCTAGATTGAACAGTCATAATCACAACTCTGTGTGAGAATTCTCAGCAGGAGAAGTGAATATCAAAATGAAGCAAGGTAGGATGTGTTTTGTAAGGAGAATACTAATAATGCTAATAACTGAACTAAGAATACAACATATATCCTCTTTAACAAATTCACTCATTCAGTAAAACAATCTGGACTACTGTCCTTCTGAAAGTCCACTAGTTATTTGACTGAAAGCTATTGAAAACAGAACCCATACCCAAATATTTTTAAGACTGATCTTTAATGTGACTCTTTTAAAAACAAAGAAATTCACCAAAAATATTCTCATTTCAGAAATTCAACTATTATTTATTCCACTTTTCTATACTTAATAAGAAAATACCAATCATCAGTTTTTAAGTCATGTGACTGCTCCAATACATAAAGCCTCTTGTAATAAATATAAATTTGCAATGAAAACTTGCGTATAACTTCCTCCATACCTCTAGTTTTCTCCTTTAATTCCTCCTGATATTGATCTTAATCATGTTTCAAAACATTGTCCATTTGCACTTGCCAAACCAAATTGGACGCAAGTTTTCCCTGATTCAGGATCCTTTTTTGCAGCTGTTGGAACCAGATGTTTATGGGGACAGACACATCTCTGTTATGAGCAAATGCAGGATAAAAATCTCTCTTGTGATTTCCTATACTTAAAAGCTTATACAAATCCAGGACAGGTCTCAATATTTCTAATGCTACTTAATTAAAATAATGATATGATTAATAGCTATAATTAATTAGGAAAAATCTGAATATTTTTGGCATCCAGTTTTTTCCCAGGCTCCTCTTGTTGGAGGCTGAAGTTCTGCTTCTGCATAGATGGAAATCTGTGAAATCAGGAATGCACTGTCGATTTTCTCCAAAAATGAACATGCAAGAAAGGTAATGATGAAAACACTTTTATTAATTAAAAGAAACTGTGGCTGCATTTCTGGGGAACCCCAACGCTCTTTGCATATGTCAGACTTTCTTCTGAAGTTATAGTGTAGCAGATCCTTTGGACACCTTCCATTACTTTCCATCGTAATTGCTAGGTACCATGAGTGGTATGGTTCTAGCAGAGCTCAGCAACTATGGATAAGAGAGATAGATACTCTGGTGTGGTTTCAACATTTGATGTTGCAGTTGTAGCCAGGATTGCTGAACTCACCATTATCTATCTATCTATCTATCTATCTATCTATCTATCTATCTATCTATCTATCAACCCATGTACCTACCTACATATTTATTTGTCTGTTTCGCTATTTTATGCAACCAAATCTTTTTCTGGCTAGAATCCTTTAACTAAAAACAGTTTTATGTGAATATAAAAAGAGTGTTTATGCGGATTACGGCAACATTTTGTTATGATTTTTTTTTAATAATTCAACTCTATGGTCTTAGAGTGAAACAGACAATAAATTATTGAAGTAATAAAGCACGTTATACTTTTCACTTTTCTCTGTTTGCTTGGTAATGACCTACAAGCCATGAATGAACATTAAAATATTGGTAACATAGCACTTATAGGAATAAAAGCAACAAAATAGTCACATAATTATCTTAAAAACCAAAACAAAACAAAACGAGAAACAGAATTCATTGAAGTTTAGTATTATAGATGTATGATGGAAAAATACTGTATGAAATATATGTTTGCAGTAGCCTAGAATACTGCACTGGGCTATGAGAAGAACGCTTTCCCCCTCCACGGATGTGAGCAGATCCCATTGCCAGGAGTTTCTTTTCTTTTCTTGCTCTGCCTGCTCAGCAGACTTCGAATTGCTCCTGTCAGTGCTATTCATGTCCAGTCTGGGATAAGATGGTGATTCACCTTACACCCTCTTATGACTCTTGGCCTTCTGAAGTCCTGTAGCAGACCAACAAAATACACTTTACACTTACACTGGAATTGTCTCAAACATCTGCAGGACAAAACCATCACCATCAGAACAAGCTAAAGGCTGAAGATGTGGTCAGAGAAGGAAGCCTTGTGTAGATAAAATGGCTTGACTGCAATCTTGATGATGAACTTGTTGACAGCAAACGCTAATGACAAACAATATGAAGCCTATGAATCTAAGAGGCATAAAAAGATGCACATGAGAATCTCAGGGGGATTTCAAGACTTCAGGACCTTATGAGCTTCAGAACTTCTGGATGAGTGCTCTTGCAGAAAGAGACACTCCTCCTCTGTCTCTCCATTTTCTGTCTTTTTTCCCACATAAAGTTATCAAGTAATGCAAGACATAGTTCAGTTTCCCATACACTCACATAATTTAGCCACCCAGAAAGATATAATTGTAAGTGTGCCAGTATTTTTAAGATAATTATAGTACAGAGATTCTGAATAAAACTGATGATTGTATTTGGATCCTGAGTGATGTTTTTGCCTTAATCTAATTGAGGGAGGAGGATTTGTGAGTCTGATCACCCCTGCCTCAATTCATAGGTGGGATGTGATAAGACCCCCCTTCGTTTGCAGTTGAAAGGTCTTGGTTTTCCTTCTGTGAGAAAGCATGACAGAAAGCTGCATGACTCACATGACATTCTGGTCACCAAATTGGAGAAAAATGGATTTGATGGATGTACAACTCTCTGGATAAGAAATTGGCTGGATGGTCGCCCTCAGAGAGTTGTGGTCAACTGCTCAGTGTCCAAGTGGAGACTGGTGATGAGTGGCATTCTTCAGGCATCAATGCTAGGACCATTTAGCATCTTTTAGGTGACATGGACAGTGGGACTGACCTCAGCAAGTTTGCAAACATCAAGCTGAGTGGTACAGTTGACACGTTTGAGGGAAGGGGTGCCATCCAGAGGGACCTGAACAGTCTTGACAGGTGGGCCTATACCAATCTCATGAAGTTCAACATGCCAAGTGTCAGGTCATGCACCTGGATTGGAGAAATTCCAAGGACAAATACAGGCTGGGCAGAGAATGGCTTGAAAGCAGCCCTGAGGAAAAGAATTTGAGGGTACTGGTTGATGAAAAACTTAGAATGAGCTGGTAATGTGTGCTTGTAGCCCAGAAGACCAACAATATCCTGGGTTGCATCAAGAGAAGAGTGACCAACAGTACAAGGGAGGTGATTCTGCCCCTCTACTCCACCTTTGTGAGACCCCACTCAGAGTACTGTGTCCAGTTCTGGGGCCCCTAGAAGAAAAGAAAATGAAGCTGACCACAAAGGTGGTCAGAGGACTGGAGTACCTCCCCTGTGTGGACAGGCTAAGAGATCTGGGGCTGTTCAGCCTGGAGAAGGTTCCAAGGAAACTTTATAGTGGCCTTCAGTACCTGAAAGAGGCCCACAGGAAAGCTGGAGAAGGACTATTTTTCTTAGGACATGTAGCAATGGGATAAGCAGAAATGGCTTTAAACAGAAAGAGATAGATTTAGACTAGATATTAGGAATAAATTCTTTAATATGAGATTGGTGAGACACTGGAACAGGATGCTTCCTTCCTGAAGGCATTCTAGGCCAGGCTGGATGGGGCTTTGAGCAACGTGGTCTAATGGGAAGTTAGAACTAGATAATTTTAAAGGTCCCTTTCAACCTAAACCACTCTGTGATTCTGTGTTTCTAAAGATGTGTCATCTGCACTCCTCCATTCCTGCGATATATTTGCTCTTCTGTGGTGGGATGCACCAGGTCAGACCTTTGTCTCAAAATAGTAAATCCCGGGGCCAATTTAATAAAGGAGGAAGGTCTTCAATCTTCATCATCTATTGTTTCAGGCTCTCTGCTGATGTAGGAAAATGCTAGTGAAATATTTATTTGTAGCCATAGGGGAAATTTTAAAGGAAAGCTGGGATTCTGATACAATCATATGCTTTTACTGAGTTGGAGCCCAAGGCCAAGAATTATAACATGCTCCCAAGCACAAATAAAATTAAAAGAAAATATTTTAGTACTTTCTCTCTACAACAATATTTCTTCCATGCACACTGAATATTACTGAAGATTTTCTAGCCATGGTATTATAGGAAATAGAACAAGTTTCTTACTTATATAAAAATACATAAAATGTATTTATGCGGATGTCTCTTGCTAAATTCTCAATATATTTTCTTGTAGGAGTTCTCTCATGTTTTTTAAACCTTCCAAATGCATTCCTAGTCATGACAATGTGTCATTATGTTTTCTGAGATGTGTGCTCTTACACAGTCTGTAGGATGACTGCTAAAAAGCATTTCCATTTCCAACAGCAGGCACTCTTGAAAGCGGATTAATAAGGGACAAAAGCCTCTGTGATAACAAATGTATGAGAGTTAGCCAGGACCTGAGTGCTATGCAGATGTCACTCATTTTTATAGAAATCTCATTAAATTTTATGCTTGGGTGTTATCATTCATGGTGTCAGCTGGATGGCTAATGCAGAGAAGTGCTTTTCCCAAGGGCTCTGCTATTGTTCAGGATCTCTAAAACAATTTTTTAGTTGAGAATAGCCAATTGGGGAAAAAATGCACTGTCTGCTCAAATGGTTCTCTGGAAACTACACAGAAAATGACTGGTTGTAAGTGCATTATAATGCAGTTGACCTTCACAGAGAAGATATTTGAGGCTGCGATAGGCTCTTATGCAGCCTTAGGAGCATTGGAAAGCCAGTGTAAGAATGTTGTCAGTTATCTTCTGTCAGAGAAGTTCCATGGATGCATGGTTCATTTCA